AGAGCCATTGGGAGACTAGAGGCAGGATAAAGTCAAACAGAAGTGACCAGATGGCTAAATGTGAATCCTTCTGTGGTTCATAGATTTTTGAGGCGATTCAAAACCACAGATTCGGCATCTAGGAGGTTCAGCCAAGGTCGGCCAATTGCTACAACTAGCGCCGATGACCGATATTTGACATTATGTGAACGCAGGAATAGAACCGCTACTCCGACTCTTCTTAGATCCTCCCTTGCTGCAGCCACCGGAAGGTTGGTGTCAATGTCAACTGTGCGTAGAAGGCTTCAGAAAGGTGGTCTGTATGCGAGGCGATCACCCATTTGCGTGCCGCTCACGTCACGCCATAGGAGGGACCATTTGCAGTAGGCACGACAACATGTCTACTGGACGCTTGAACAGTGGAGGGCTGTTCTCTTTACGAATGAGTCTAGGTTTACTCTAGAAAGCGATAGTAGGCGTTATTTGATATGGAGAGAACCTGGAACCCGTTATCATCCCTCAAACATCCGTGAAAGAGATGAATACGGAAGAGGCAGTGTCTGTGTTTGGGGTGGCATCTCTTTGGGTGGACGCACAGACCTCCATGTCTTTCCAACGGAAATTTTGAATGTCCGGTTTATAGAGATGACATCCTTGATGCTTATATGCGCCCATGTGTGGGGCAATAGGTGATGCTTTCCTGTTACAGGACGATAACGCAAGACCACACAGGGCTCGCATCGTAAATGATTATCCTCAACAGGAAACAATTATGCGCATGGAGTGGCCAGCTCGATCCCCGGACTTGAATCCTATCGAGCACGTTTGGGATGCTTTAGAGAGACGTCTAACTGCTCTGAATCCGCCCCCTCAGACCCTTGCCGCGCTTGCAAGTGCTTTGCAAAGAGCAATGGCTCTCGCTTCTTATGGAACTGGTAGACCGTATAATTGAAAGCATCACACATCGCTGTATGTCCTGTATTGCTTCTTGAGGCGACCATATTCCATATTGAAGGTACTTTTGCTATAGCAAACCGACACCTTCGATTTGTTCATTTTATACATGTGCTAATTTCTATACTACCATATTTGTCTCGTAATTTCTTTTTATGTTATTTGATATCTTACTATGTGTTGTATATTGTGGGTAAGTTTCATAAAATTCTACATGTAACCTTTTCAGTAATCGTGATTTTTGTGATTTTTCCTTAATTTATAACCAGTGTACTATAGTTCTACTAGTTAAGATTGAATCGTCAGATATTAAAGTTGAGAATATAAAATTATGCATTCAAAAAAGGGTTATTTAGAGAAGCTGTTCCAAATAATAAGAAAGATATATCTTGATTGGATAATATTCCATCCTCAAATAAGCAGAAAGAATTGAACAAGGAGTGGGATCGCTAGAATCAACTCAACCGCTCACTCCCTGGACTGATTTCTTTCAACTGTACTTTTTGGGATTCCTTTAAAAAAAACTTTCTACGTAGAACAGCGATAAAATTGTGGAATAAAAAAATGCTAAAAGTTAAAAATAGCGAAATCTAAACTCACTTTTGTTAAAGATTACATTATTTTATTACTGTAATTGATATCTTGTTGCTACTGCAAAGCACAGTGTAAAAATAAACTTTTAAATTGGAGGCAGATCCCAAAGAACAGGAAATTGTCTTCTGACAATTCCGGAATTTTTCTTTTTTTATTTAATTTTACAAAATGATACCCGATATCGCTTGAGGTTCGTCTATTAGACAGGATTCACATTTTGTTCTGCAACCTTGAAAAAATACATTAGATGAAAAGATTTATGTTTATAAATATATACTAATTCTAAAGAAGATTAAAGAGAAATTCAAAGCTCTTGATGTGTGAACGTAGTGCAAGAAAACTTGGCATTTACTCTTTAAATTACTCTTTAAACTTTAAATTACTTTTTACTCTTTAAACTTACTTTTGTTTATTCTTTAAGACGTTAGTAAAATAAGTAAATAAACAAAAATATAAGTTATTATTTTATATAAATATTACAATAATATTGAATAAAAAAGGTAATACCTAATTATACGTAGCTATACTACGACACAGACTCAAAGTATCGAACTGAAACTTAGAGGAGCACCTCCGACGCTTTCGAAAAAGCAATTTTATCTCAGCTAATTCCGAGACTGTTGCCACTCCGAAAAATGAATTAAAGTTTTCGCAGTTTTTAATTAATAACTCTACCGATTATTGTCGTACGAAGATGAGACCGGTATTGATGGATTCGTAGAATTTGGAATCCGGCGATATGCGTTTCGAATTCCAACTCCTCTCCCTTCCAAAGATATTCGAGAAAAACGAATTTGGCACTTCGCCAAATCCCTAAAATAGGGAAAACCCGTAAAACAAAGTGCAAAACATAGGGAAAGTAGGGAGAAAATCAGTTTTTAATTAATATCTCGGCTAATTAAAGTCGCACGAAGATGCCGATGGTCAAAATGGCTTCCCACCGACGCGACGAATCCAACGGTACCTTCCGCTAAGCTCAAAAGCACACATATATACTCTTACATACATAGCACACGTAAAAATATAAGTCAGAGGCGTTTCCGGTAAATAATAAAAGAAAAGACTTCTCATGTTTACAATAAAAGGAATCAATTTATCAGAGCGCTGATTCTTCTTCTGAGCTCTTTGAATCGGCTGAGTATGTTCTTTGAATCGGTTCCGGAGGGCGTAATGGCAAACCGCACATTGAGTTGATCAATGTTAACGAGTTTCGCTTACTGCGCATGCTCAATGGTCTACCGTTGGCGTGGGAGGAAATGCTGGCGACTAAGGCATAAGCAACCCTATACAAGCCTGTTCATCATGTAGGTCTTATCAACTGTTTACAATTGCAAAACTACTGAAATTTATTTGTGCTCAATGCATTTGCTTCTGTTTCATTTCATTTTGGTTAATTTTTTTCATAAACGTTATATTTAGTATCAGTTATTTATAATAATTTCCTTGACTTTAATTCAATAATTTAAACTGAATTTATTCTTTAATTTGTTAAAGTATATACGAATGGAACGTTTGGTAAATACGCAATTGCTTTTATCCGTCAGAAGTATGATCAATAAAGATTCAACTAATAATATCCTATCACGTTTCCTATTTTGTAATCATTCTTAAACGGAAATTTGCTTATTTTACAATCGATATTTACTCTCTAAGTAATGAAGCAACTTACAACCTAACAAGTTTGAAAACTCCGAACGCCCAGATGCGGCCCACTAGCGGCCGAGCGGTAGAGTCGCTGAACACTGGTAGTTCGGGCCGAGGTTCGAATCCCGCAACTGCTGGCTGCATGGGCGTTTTCGTGGTTTTCCCCAGGTGTAACGTGTATATGAGCCAGTTTCCCTCAGAAAGTCCTCCACGAAGGCATCCATCCCTTTAGGCAGATAGCCGTAGTGTGCTTTGCCATAATTAAGTACACCACACCACCGAACGCCCAGATAACAGAATTTCAACCACACACCGTATTTATCTTCTTTCAAAATCATACCAAAGCCATAATTGCGCCAAATTTTCTTCTGGGCATGCGCAGCATGAGAAATTCGTTTAACATTGATCAACTGAATGTGCTGTTTGCCATTACGCTTCCGGAGCGGCTCGTCCATTTCTATTGCATATCCCCTTTCTGCGAAGTGAGAACCTCTTGTGCTCCGAAAAAGAAAGGGCCTTCTTTAATAGAACTCCCTGAAAATAAAAGTTCAGGGTGACGGTTATTTTATTTATTTATTTATTTTCTTTTTGTTCTGTTTTTCTTACTTTCTGATTACTTGCGGTAGCTTTGATTGGGGGAGGGGAATTAAAGGGTTACAGCCGAAAACATCGCGGACAAAAACGTCGAGAATAAGGCAACGCAAGACGAAAATGTCGTGCTACAAAACATCATGGGAGAAAACATCGCAAAGAGAAAACATCACAGTTTTAAAACATCGTGGTACAAAATATCGTCGTCGAAAATAAAGCGGTTCAAAAACTTCGCAGTTTAAAAACATCGCCGTCGAAAATATCGTGGTAAAAAATACAGTATCTACAAATCATCGCATGACGATAACATAGCAGACATGCTTTTTTCAGAGTTTTTTTTTTAGATTATACTTTTCATGAAAAATTACCAGTAAAAACTTTAAAAAAATAATTTGTTAATGACTTTTGTTAGTTAACTATGTCGGTTAAAAGTTCTGTTAAGTGCTATAAGTTGCGTTAATTTTCTATGCTTAAGTTTCCTTCTTACTTTATCAGCAAAAATGTATTAGTTAATAAAAAATATGAAAGTAAAAATTATCCTTCTTTCCATCTTGCGTCCACAAATCATTCGAGGAATATCCATTTACAATTATTAAAGCCTGAAAAAAAGCATGTCTGCTATGTTATCTTCATGCGATGATTTGTAGATACGTTATTTTTTTCCACGATGTTTTTAAACTGCGAAGTTTTTGAACTGCTTTATTTTTGACGACGATATTTTGTACCACGATGTTTTAGAACTGCGATGTTTTCTCCCACGATGTTTTGTTAGCACGACGCTTTCTCCTTCCTTTGTTTTCTCCGCGACGTTTCAGTCCGCGATGTTTTTGCCGCGATGTTACCGGCGGACACCAGTTAAAGTATGCTTTAGAATGAAAACCGGAAGTACTTACCTCTACTCTGCTTGGGCTAATCATATGTTAAGTGTTTGAGGACACCGAATATAATCAGGCAAATCACTGTACGATGGTTTGTTTTCTCTTCCCGAGGTAACTCGGGTAAACCAGAGAAGGTCTTAAGTAGTAAAATTACAGATTTGTTATTTTCCCACTCTCAGTTGAAGAAGAAAGCTCTTTTGGGAAGAATAAATGGCAAGTTTTCTTGCTCTACATTTCCCACATTTACGTTTTTCTTAAGCCAAAAATCAATGTTTATGTTAAATTTATATATGTTATATCCATACAGATTATTTAGTGTTGATTAACATGCGAAGTGACGTCAATGTCTCTCTTTTATAGGACCATTCAAGATCCCGCTAGCCAGCGATTGACGTGGAATAAACCACCCCTGACGGTGCTGGTCATCAAGAAAATCCACGACTTGTCTGTCATTCAGCCTTTCATAAGCCTCGTCAAGTGGCTCATTTTTGTAAGAAATTCGATCATTTGAAATTACTTTATGAAGAAGAAAGGCCTTGTGTATTTATGGGGGATTTTAAAAAACAGATATTTATTTCTTATAATAATAGCTTTTATAGAGGAATCTTTTTTTAAAAAATTTTAAGCAAAATTTTAAATCTTTTCTTGGATTTTAAAAAATTTTATATGAATTCATGCTTTAACTAAGGTAGAAACCTTTGATATCATTCACAGTCGATTAAACAGCAAACACGAACATTTCCTTCTGGAAAAGTGGCTCCTAAAATTTCAACAATATGCTTTCTTTAAACTTGTTACCAGATTGTAAAAAATCACGAAATGTCACTTGTTGACAGAACTTTATCGCCAAAACAAGATAAGTATCAAAACATCGCATCTTCGTTTCTTTTTAAGTTATTTCCACAGTTCTATGGTCAAATTACTTAGAATTAATTATAAATAGTAGTTGAGTAATTAAACGTGTGAATAATTGCAATAAAATAGCGTAAAATATAAGTAATAAATAAAGAGAAAGAAATGGTTTTGTTCCATTAAGAGCTCATTTTTGTGACTGAGGAAAAATTATCTGTTATCTGGAGTTGTAAATATAAAACATTTTCAGTATACATAAGAAAGTAGCTAGTAAATAAAACAAAACAGTAAATGATGCTTCGTTGTAAGCCATAAATATATTTTAAAGTATTTGTATGAAGGAGTGGTATAAGATAATGAATACCCTATCACTACAAAAGTATACTTTAAAACTAATGTTTGATTTTTGGAGTAAATACTGCAGAAATTCTACTGCAGTTTACTATCAAAATTCATAATCTTCTGATTATTTTCTCACTTTTTTTACTATTCACTTTTTAACAATTTACACTTTTAAATTCTCCAAAACATTATTTTTTCGATAGTGCTTTATGAAACATTTTCTCTCACTAACTTTCAAAAGTGCCGCCCAGATGGGAAAGTAGTTAAACTCTTGACTGCCAATCTCGGAGGAGGCGTAGATCCAAATTGCCTGTCCCTTCACCGATGGCAACGATGGCCCACCTATTAGGTGCCTTAGATAAAGTGAATACCGCTTCCGGCACTTAAAAGTGGCCAGCGTCTATGACGACTTGTGCCCGCCACTGAAAAAAAAAAAAAAAAGTGTTTCTTCATCACTAACTTCCTTCCAAAAGTAACAATATAACTTTTTTACAGAAAATTGATCGAGAATCTGGTAAAATCTGAAAACAATTTTTTTGTGTGCTTAAAGGCCAACTAATTAAAGGTCACCCGTGAACGGGCTGGCTGTTTGGCCGTTTTCGGGGTTTTGTAACAGGTGTACGAACCAGTTTCCTTTAGAAAGTTCTCAGGAAAGTTTGGTTTTGGTTTATTAGATTACGGCAAAGCACTCGAGGGCTATCTGCCTTAAGGGAGAAATGCCTTCGTGGAGGACTTTTTAAGGGAAACTGGCTCGTATACACGTTACACTTGGGGAAAACCACGAAGACACCCATGCAGCCAGCCCGTTCGCGGGATTCGAACCTCGGACCGAACTTCCAGTGTTCAGCGACGTTACCGCTCGGCCGCTGGTGGGCCTCTCCAGGAAAGCATCCCTTCCCTTAGGCAGATAGTCCTCAAGTTCTTTGGCATAATTAAATAAACCGAACCAAACCAACCTATTAGAAAACCAATAGGAAAATGGGTAGCTCACATTTGTCTGCCTTCTTAACTGAGTTGCTATCTGATGGCGTTGATTTCTATTCTTAGAATTTTTTTGACAAAATCTCAAAGATTATTTTCGAGCAAATTTTTGGGGAAAAACTTCTTTTCGCTTCAAGAAACAAATATATTTTTCACATTGCGAATTTGAATATTACTTGATAGTGAGCATCTCGGAATTGAATTAACAGGATATATTACATGGTCATAAAATAGGTCTTAATCAGCACCAAAACATTATGTCGTAAAATAAAAATGGTTATCTATTATGCGAGTAACCTTCTTATCTGTACATATCATTGAAACATCATTTAATTATTACTATAAGGCTGCAAATGTTCACAAAAGTTTTAAGCTGTATATTGTTACGAAATGTACTGGCGCGGTAAGATAGCTTCCCCGCAAAGCAGTTTTAGGGTTGCCATAAAATGGAAAGGGAAGGCAGGGTTGTCACATTTGGCGATAAATCGTCCATTTGGCGACATTTGGAGACAAAATTGGCGATATACCATGGACGGATGGAGAACCTTCTGGAACGAGTTCTTACTAGTTTAGCCCAGAACGCTCTCAAACACAAGCCGAAAGATATATAAACCCTGCTGGTCCGCAGTCAGTTAGTGTGTCTCAGAGAGTGTATGTCTCTCATCGAGAGTGTGTCTCGTCTAGCGAGTTAATCCCTGCAGAGTCCATCGAGTTGACAGCCGGGCAGCGAGTGCCGAGTGTGTCGTCGTCGAGTTCACCGAAGGAGTCTCTTAGTGTATCGCGGTTAGTGCATCGTCGAGAAAGCTCTGTGTGTCGTCGAGGGCATCGCGAGTTGTAGCGTGGAGAGTCTCGAGAGTACGTGGAGTTCCGAAAACGTCCAAGCAGAGTCGGGTGCTTTGCAGGAAGCTGTCTTCACCGTGATAGCCTATAAACTGAAGGCTGTGTCGCTGATCGTGTCAGCGTGCTTATAGTAGTTCATCGACGACTGTAAAACGTGTTTTGGAGCAGTCCTGACAATACCTGGTAAATAAAGTGTGTTTCGATACTTCATCAAGGGTCGTCGTTATTCACTCCATTTCTACGAACCCTGTACGAACGTGAGGGAAGAAAGTAACGCAACAACTGGTGTCAGAAGAATAAAAAAGCGTAACAACTGGTGTCAGAAGTGGAATAGAAAGAACGCAACAATATATTATTAATTAAATGTATTATAAAATGCATGATTTAGAGAGATTATTAAGTTAAATTGAATCAAAGGTGACCGAAAGGCTGTTGATCCCCAGAGACCTATAAATTGACGCTCTCAGTATGAGATAATGTAACAGACTCGGATAGATTTTTACCCTTTTGCATTGGAGAGCTGACTTTCGGGCACCACTTGATTTAAGGCGGCAACTTGATTTAAGGAGTTGACTCTCGATTAGCCAGTGAACAGCTTCCGGTTTTTTATCCTAAATAATTTTTAGATTTATCGGCCTTAGACGTTTAGTTCGAAGATTTAGATGCGTCTTCGACGTTAGTTCGAACTCGGCAGTCGTAGCTATAGGAATATTATTTTCAAAGTGACGGAGCCCACTAAGCATGGAATACGATGAAGGAATCAGTTCAAGTGAAGGTAAGTTTACTAATGAAGAACGAAATTACGTCTATGCATAATCTTCTTGACGACAGAGACAAGGAAAGTTATGATGAAGATGGCGATGAACTAAGAGGTGTTAGAAGGCAAAATATGTTTGTAAAAGTGCCGGTTATAATAAGTTTAACTTAAGTGCAATAAAAATGTGAATAATTTAATAGGCTGTACTAGGACGTCATGTAGTGTCCATATCATATTTTTTTGGAATAGGAGACGTAAAAAATCAGTTATGCCTTTAGAAGGGATTCGAACCAGAAAATCTTCCGGTACTAGCCAGACACATTATAAGTTTCACCATGTAAAGCAAGTATAGATTGTGTAGTATAGGTACTAATTAAGATTGTTTTAAATTCAAAGCAAGGTAAACCAAATCTTATACTATAACATTTCAAAATTTTCGAGGTTTCACTAACTGCATATCTAACTTGAAAACTACTGTAGAAACAAATAGGATCAAACAGATGGAAATATTTACGCAAAATATTTCGGAATTATTATCGCTTCGTGCAAGTTTAAAGTTTTGTGGATCTTTGTTCTTTATTGTTATGTTTATTTCTCCACAGGAGAAACACATGCTAGTGTTCGTCGAAGCCTCCGTATTGGACGAGGATTATCTTCAACTTTCTCCATCCTATTCATCCGTAAAAGACAAACTTTGCACCTTCAAAGAAGGTAAAATATTAAAATTTATGTAAATATTTATGCTTGCTTGTTTCTATTAGATTGTAATATATTTTATGAAATTGTGTTTTATTTAAATCCATATAAAGTAATGATAAAATACCTTTTTATGTCAGTCGACAAAAAATCTATGGTGACGTTATAGTTCTGAATTTGATGTATAAGAGACTAAATTATATCAAATTGGTACTTAACAAATTTTTGTGTTTTTACTTTAAGTACACTGCTGGCCACCCAAATTGCAATACCAAGAAAGACAAGAGATATCACAACAAAAATTTATTTAGTAGATAACATGTTGACCCAGTATCAAATGATTAAATTTATAGACTTCTGTGAAGTGTGGTTCCTTTCAGAATCAGTAGCAGCCATTGTTGGAGATCAGCGTTGCCACACGCCTCGGCATTGATTCAAAGAGACTTTGGATGTGTTCTTGGGGTACAGCAGACCAAGCAGCTTCCACACGTTGCCAAAGTTGATCTGGTGTGGCAGCTTTTGATGTAATCTGGATCAATCGTTCAGCAACCATGGACCACATGTTTTCTATTGGCGAAAGATACGGACAGCGAGCCGGCCAGGGAAGCAATTCAATCTGGCGATTGACGAAGAACCCTTGGACAATGCGTGCCACGTGTGGTCGCGCATTATCCTGTTGAAATATGGCTGTGCGCAAGCCCTGAAGGTAAGGAAGGACAACTGGCTCCAACACCTCGGAGATGTAGCGCTGGCTGTTTAAAATACCGGCAATGCGTATTAGAGGAGTGCGAGAGTTATATCCAATACCGCCGCATACGATAATACTCGGTGCAGGACCAGTGTGGCGGTGCATAACGCAGCTGTTCAGCATCCTCTCTCCACGGTGTCTCCAGGCTCGAATCCGACCATCGTGGTGTTGCAGACAGAAGAGTGACTCGTCAGTAAAGATAATTTCATTCCATTCTGCCGTCCACATCCTTCTTTCATTGCACCATTGGCGGCCGAGACGTCTGTGGTTCTGCGTCAAGGGTAGACGAAGCAATGGACGTCTTGCGAACAGACCACTCTGCTGTAAGTGGCGTCGAATGGTACGCGCAGATACTGGATGATGCGTTACAGACTGAATGTGCTGTGCTATGGTTCGTGATATGACTGAGTGATCCGTCACTGCCATGCGCACAATGTTCCTGTCATCACGTGAAGTGGTGCACTGAGGTGGATGCGATCGAGCACGTTGGTCCGTCGTACCCTCCTGCATCCAATGGTAACATATCCACATTACAGTTGTTTGGTTTCGTCCAACACGATTACCGATTTCCCTGAAAGATAATCCACACTCTCGGTAGGCCACTATCCTTCCTCTGTCGAACTCGGATACTTGATCAAACGATGATCGCTGTTTACTACGAGGCATAATTGATCGTTTTTTTTTTTTGAAAAAAAAAACCACAAGAAAAACACAATTGCTGAACTTGAAATCATTGAAATCTCCAAGCCTTAAATAGCGCTTTGAAGTGGCACCACAGGCGCGCGTGATGTGCATCTGCGCTGAAATTCTAATCATTTGCATATCTCACCTCCGCTAATGCATGTTGTAAATTTCATGTCATTTGCATGCTTCCTTCAGGGTGTTGCTTCCTTCAGGGTGGCCAGCAGTGTATGTTTAATTCTTTTAAATCGTTCAGCTTTTACGTAATACAACTATAATGCAAAATCTGAATTAATGATTTTATGTTACATCAAAAGGCAACGGTTTGGAAACTAGTTATTAGTCGGAGTGGGCGGTAAATCAAGGTATTGTGTTTCAAAACGGTAATAAAATTGACAGGTTACGTGTATGAGGGTTGTTTCCTTGACTGATTCATTTATTAATAAAAAAAAAAATCCTAAAGTTATCTACCTGATGAATGGGATGGTTTCCCGGAGGTTTTTCTTGGGAATTGGACCTTACTGACGTTGGGATATTCGAATTCTGGCGAACGGGTTGGCTGCATGGGCGTTTTCGTGGTTCCCTCCCCCCATGTCTAACATGTATACAAGCCAGTTTACTTCAGGATACCTTCTACGAAGGCAACTCTCCTCTTAGGCAGATAGCCCTAGTCTACTTTGCCGTAACCTAATAAACCAAACCGAAACTTACAACAGAATCACCAAAAAGCCGATCAACGAGCTTCTGCACCTAGATCTACAGCCAGGTCGAAGTATTCAGCGTTCTTACTCATTCGATCACTGCTGACCCAAGTGGTTAAATAAATGACAATGTAGGTTTGGTTTATTTGATTAGGGCAAAGCGCTTGAGGGATATCAGACTAACAGGAGGGATGCCGTCGTGGAGGACTAAGGGAACTGGCTCGTATGTACGTTGTACATGGGGAAAATCACGAAGACGCTCATACAGCCAGCCCGTTCTCTGGGATTCAAATCCTGACTAAACTACCTGTGTTCAGCGACTTTACTGCGCGGCTGCTGGTGGGCCATGACCAGCAGTAGTATACTGTAACGTACTATAGTGTACTGTAACGTAATTTTAAAGACATTACGGCATTTCCTTGCGCGGCTTGCCGGATTTTAATTAATTTGAGTCGCAGAATCGAAACATGGATAACAGTTGGCTTGTCATTTTAGAAAAAGTTCGATTTTGTGTCAAAATGTCTATATTTGAACAATGTTATATATAAATATAATACATATCCTAATTAACGACATGAAAATGCTTTCGAGACATGAAAAACGCAAGTTGAATTTCGTCAATCGGTCCAGTAGAACGGGAGATATAGAACTGTCACCTTTCTTTTTTTTTTTTACCATTTCAGAAAAAGTCTGATTTTGTATTGACGCACTGGGGAAACGGTGAAACACCAGAGTGCCTGGGTCAAGGACCCTAGCCCCTGTAGAACAGATATGTTATTTCGAATACTGCCATGAGTAACTAGTATATATTTAGAATTCTTTATATATATATGTGATGTATCAGCTTTAGTCGTAGCTTAAATAATCAGACGATAAGTTTAAAAAACAGGATCCATTTATTATTATTCAGGAGAAATAGCAGTTACAAAAATCAGATATCCGGAGTAAATAAAAAAAGAACTACTAATAACATTTTGTATGAAGGTTTACTGCATCGTGACATTTAAGAAAAACCCCGATATTCCTTTTACGAGTCTTTTTATAGCCTCTGGAAGGCGGAGCTTCCAAGAATGACGTCAGCCTCTCCCAGCCATCCATTTCGCTTTAAATATCTCGAGAACATTCTATAACTGTACGTGTAGAAAAGGCGGGAAAAACAACTTGACTACGGGGCTGTGGATTTAATTCCACGTACTTTCAAATAAGAGAACGTCGCCATTAAAAATGAAAAGAACATACAATTAGAATTTCAAGCGTATTCTTGACATGAAATTTTATTATATATATATATATATAATTAAATCATGTTTTTAGCATTTTTTTTTTAAATTATAAGAATAGAGATAAGATAAGAGATAAATTTCTAAAAAGACTAAAGTGTGCGTCAAGTTTCAATAGACCTGAAGTGCTATTTGGGAAAACCGAGAAAGGAGGAATGAGCTGGCGATTTTGTATTAAAGGAGGGATAAGCGACTAGGATACTTGGAGGCCTGATGCTTGGAGTTTATTTATTATTATTTACGTGTTCCGCCCTAAGGCTCTACACGGAAGGTAGGGGTGCCTTCGTGGAGGACTTTCTAAGGAAACTGGCTCGTATTAACACGTTACGCATTCAAACCTCGGACTGAGCTGCCAGCGTTCAGGGATTTTACCGTTTGGCCGCCTGGTTGGCCATTATGCTTGAAGTTCTACTGCATTTTTATTTTTTAAAACAGGCGGGAGTGAGAAACTATACGAAGAGGTCGGAGAAGTGCGACGTTGTCTTGTGGCCTTAGTCAATGTGTGTTTCACCAAATTTTTTCGTTTTGCAGGTAAAGACGTGCTCACCGACAAGATAGATTTCATCATCTGCTTGGGAGGAGATGGAACGTTACTCTATGCATCTTCCCTTTTCCAGGTAACGAAATACTTTCTTTTTCATTCGCAAATAGCTCATGTTTTCTTTCTTTTTAACTTCTTTGAAAAAAATGTTATTGTTTTCAATGACCGAATTTCTTGTCATGGTGAAAGAGATATCAATGTGAAAATGAATACATTAAAAGCAAAAATTAACACAAATATGTAACAAGTTTTTCACCGACTGCTCTTTCATTGAGCTCGGTTTAACATGATCAAAGCTTGGCTGTTGCGATGGTGAACGCTGCAGATGTCGCAACCTTGAGGCAATCTTAATAATTAGTTGAAAGAAAAGAGGTGGAGATTTGAAACGCCTCAGACAGCAACGGAGCAGAAGTTGCATCATTCTTGATATTGCGCATTGGGAAAGTAACTCGATATCTGTTTTAGCAGCCGCATGATTTTATTTTCAGTCACATAGGGACAAAGATGGTATGGTGATAGAAGTACAGAGACTGTTCACACATTTTTAGACGATGTATATTATATTCACAAAACTAAATTACATAAAATTCTTGGGTTTTAAATGTTTTATTTAACATCCCTTATTCTGAATTATCTTTCGACACCGCAATTTCCAGGATAATAATGCCTTTTGAAGTGGTATTCTACCCCATTCGAGGTATTCTATCCCATTCCTACCGAACAGCTTTCCAGTCCTGTTAGGGTTTTGGAACAACATTTGGATAATGCAGTTTTTAAAAGTCCGAAAGCACAAAAATCTATAGGTAACACATCGGGAGATTTAGTAGGGATATCAGTGAAGGGTATGGCCTTGATACCAGTTTTTTGTTCCATTTCTTTTAGGAAATTTACAGTGGATTTTGATGACTGACTGCTAGCTTTGTTCTGATGGAGTCTCACAGATGGATGGCACTGTGGGTAAAGCGATGGTATTTCATTCAGAAAAATTGGCGATAAAATATGTTCCTGATAGTATTTGGAGTTAATCTTGACATTTTTTTGCACTATCTTTATTTTTAACTTGCCATTATAAGAAAAACCAGCAACAATCATGAATCCCTTCGGAAAACTTTCTTTCGATTCTTTGAACCATGTACTTACATTTTTGTCTCCCCTTTTATGATAATAAATGGCTCTTTTTTGTTACAATCATTTAAATACGCCCATGCTACATCTATTGTGACAATTGTTTTCCATTTTTCTTTGGATAGGTGTTTCTCATATAGAATTCTGCAGCGCGTCCTGCGTTGAGCGATATGCTTTGGAAGAAGACGATGCACATTGCGTTTTTTCGCTTTCGTAAGATTTAAATCAACGTTTATTATTTTGTTTACAGCGGACACCGAGCATTTTAATGATTTTGCAACTGTCTTATGACTAGGGGGATTTTCTTTTAACATTAAACAACGTACCTTTGCAATAGTCGAAGATGTCCGTTTTTTCCTTGGATACTTGTTTGGAATTTTTGTCTCACTTGAGGCTCCAATTTGACGTTTTTTCCTTTCTAGTTGATGATATTACCTATCGACGCTTTAGATATCACAAAACCATGACTCTCACATCGTTTTTGGGTAACGGAGTATGCATATTTCTCTTCGGAAAGAGCGTAAATTTAGCCTTCGAACCACTGCTTTGTTAAATTCGCCATTTTGAATAAAATCAAAACATTCAAGCCACTAACAATAATCTTGACTTTTAAAAACATAGTACAATTGCAATTTATTCTTTTGCAGGAAACGATTTTATATTACCGCTTACCAAAATCGTCTAAAAATGTGGGAACAGTTTCTGTATATTATTATTATTATTATTATTATTATTTGTGCAAATACAGTATAATATAAAAAATTTTAAGTGGCTTAGATAAACTAAACAGAAGTATTTAATAATATGAGCTTCTTTCACTAAGAACCTATTTTGGCAATAGAATCGTGTACATACCGAAATAAAAAGAGAAGTAATATATAAACATGCAAATGGAAGTTAAATACATAAAACACAGAAAAAAAGGAATATATATGAGGAAACTGCTGATGTATGAATGGTAAAGTAAATACTATCTCTCACACACACATAAATACAAAGTGAGGAAAGAAAATTTGGTTAATCTTTGGAATATGGTAACAGGTAGTTTGGCGACATTTTGGTAAGGCGATAAAGGTTACTAGCTAGGACTTTAGCAGTGTACATGGATAAAGTCAAGAGTGCGCAATGCCATTTTTGTGCAATTCTGAGATGTTTTTTATAAGTGAAAATATGTTGACGTGTACATGGATACCGTGTATGTGTAATTCTTAAAAACGCGGCAAGCAGTGGGCGATTCTGCACTTTCTCCCAATTTCGCACCTAATCTTCGTCATGATTAAGCACTTTTGTTTCCATAAAAGTTCTAGCATAAGCGTAATTCGGCTAGCAGATTGTTGGAAAAAAAATGTTGAGTTTAAAAAAAAAAAAAAAAAAAAAAAAAAAAAAAAAAAAAAAAAAGGCCTTTACTTCGTGAAAACAAAATGGCGTCCAAAAAAACTAGCAGGTTGCTGTAGTAGGGTTGGTCGCCAAATTTTCGCCAAAAAATCGCCAAGTTACCATAATTTGAAGATTAACCGAAAATTTGAAAGGATTCAGGTTTTAACGCCGCACTTGAGAGTTTGATAAGGTTTTTTAAGTTCTCGTTGCGCTTGCAGTTTATCTATTCGCTCTTGGACTCATTCTTGCGGGCACAACATTTTTTGTTTAATATAAACATGCAAATGGAAGTTAAATACATAAAATACAGGAAAAAAAAAAAGAGAACATATAAGAGGTACTATCTCTTATATGTTCTTTTTTTTTCCCTGTATTTTATGTATCACACAGAAATAGAATTCGAGGAAAGAAAATTTGAAAGGATTCAGGTTTTAACACCGCACCTGAGGATTTGATAAGGTTTATTAAGTTCTCGTTGTGCTTGCAGTTTATCTATTCTCTGTTTGACTCATTCTTGCGGATACAACTTTTTTTGTCAATTTAACTTTAATTATTAAACATTACTCTCTTTGCACATATATCACATACAATTAAACAACAAAATCACAAAATTCTTAAAAGCAGCATGTCCTTAGAATTTCTGCTACGGTGCAATATATGTTTTAGACCAAAAAGGCTATTATTCTGGAATTTCGTTTTTGGGTCGGATCTCATACTTTGCTCGCTTCAGTTTTCAAGCAGCCAATCGCCTAAAAGAGTTCTAATAAAAAGAAAAAAAAAATAGATAATGCTTTTAATATATCCACCTAGTGTCATATCACAGGTCCATTTGATAATTAATATAAGAGATAAAGAACTGCATTTATTGCTATTAAATCGTTTAGCTTGCCAAACAGTGTCAGACAGATTAAATTGAGGAGAAAAATTAAATATGTTAAGCTTTGCCAAATGGCAACAAACTGGCTTGTGGAACTTCCACAAGCTTATTTAGTATCTTTAGAATTCTCGATAAAGTGTTAAATGTTGTCGTAAATATTTTTATAATCTTCATATTGGTTCTTTAAAAATAATACTTGGCTATACCATTTGGTGGCAACATTTGAAAAGTGATACGAACAAAAAATGAAGTTTGATACTAATAGCACTAAAAAAATGCTAACAATCGTTCTTAATTTTTAAAACTCAAAATAAAAACACTCTGTAAAAGCTAAGAAACAAAATCAATAGATAATTAATATGTCTCAAAAAGAGGCAGCACACGTACAGTGTCTCACAAAAGTGATGGGACACTTGTGCTTTATAAAAGGAAACTGTAGTAAAATAAATTAAAAAAAAAAAACATGTAAAAATTTTTTGTGGGTGTGTTTCATACTTAAATTTAGTAACAATTATTACACAACATACATTTCCTCAAAATATTAAAATATTAATTTAATAAAAATACAATTGTTTAGAACGGAGCAAAAAATGGCTCACATAAGTGATGGGACACTTACTTTTCAAATATTTATCGAAAAATTGTACCTTTTAAAAGGTTTTAATATTTTGTTGGATTTCCTTTTACTTTTAAAACATGATTTAATCTTCTTGGGATGGATTCGACTAATTTTTTTTTTTGTGTGATTTCTGGAGTGATTTTACCCCATTCTTCTTGAAGCACAAGCAACCGATTTTAATTGTTGTTTTGAAGAAATGGTGTGTTTGCGAATTCTTGATTCCAATTTTTGCCAAATATTCTCTATGGGATTTAAGTCTGGAGATTGTGGTGGTGTTTTTATTATTTCAGGACAGTTATACAGCAGCCAGAGTCTAACGTTCAAAGCAGTGTGCTTGGGGTCATAGTCCTGGTAGAATTTAAAATCGTTATGAAAGTTCAATTTTCGTGCTGAAGATTTCAAATTTTGATTTAAAATGTCAATATACTGGTACTGATCCATTATACTGTCAATAAAAACAAGATTACCAACTCCAGCGGACGACATACACCCCCATACCATAACTCCTCCTCCACCATGTTGTACTGTTGGCACCAAGTTCTGTTTTCGAAATTCTTCCCTGGATTTTCTCCACACCAAGATTCTACCGTCAAACCCAAATATATTAAATTTACTCTCATCAGCAAATATAATTTCATTCCAGTAATCAGAATTCTTATTTATGTTGGATTTTGCGACCAGTCTGAGTTTTTCTATTCTTTTCATTTACAAAGAATTTTTTCCTGGCTGCTCTACCGTGATATCCAGCAGATCGAATTACTGTTCCAATAGTCTCAGGATTAACAATTACTCCATATAATGCTTGTAAATCAGCAGCAACTTTAGAAACACCCATTTTTGGAATTTTTTTTAATATTTTGAACGATAATTCGCTTTATTCCATTCGATAGCTTTGATGGTCGTCCAGGTCTTCTTTTATCCTGAATCATATGATTCTTTTTATATCGTTTAATGATATTGACGATTCCGTTCTAGACAACTGTATTTTTATTAAATTAATATTTTAATATTTTGAGAAAATGTATGTGATGTAATAATTGTTACTAAATTTAAGTATGAAACACACCTACAAAAAATTTTTTACATGTTTTATTAATTTATTTTATTACAGTTTCCTTTTGTAAAGCACAAGTGTCCCATCACTTTTGTGAGACACTGTATAATTAAATTAGCTGCCTTTTTGATCTCATCAAACGACTCATGAAGATGTTTTAGAAAATTTTAATAAAATAAAAGGCCAAAATTATTCATTAACGACAAATGAACTGATGAATCTACTCTATGCAGCTCTACAGCACATGGAATAAAAATTATTACAAGTCATTGAACATATCGAGAACAGCACGAGAGTTTATAACGTACAGTTTATAAAATCAAGAGCTTAATTTATGAGCTGATATAATTTTAAACTTATGATAAATATGTCCATTTACACCATTATAATTACTATTTATGAGAGATAATTATGACTATTTGCCGAGTATTACGATTAATAAAAATGTTTCTAATACAGTATATTATGCACTTGGTACAGAATCTTCATCTAATTCGTATGAGCAACACAGCCTTCAGGCTATCAGGATAAACAAAGCACTAAAGTACATCTCCCGACTGAGTCAGTCGCTCTGGATCTAATCTCTGAACAAGACAGAACTCAAGAATAACACCTACTCCGCGTATAGGCAGGGTATACGGCCTAATAGTGCTATAGCTTAGACCTGATAGTTATATTAATAGTCAAAAGATATGGGGTATATGTCAAATTATATTAATAGTCAAAAACTATAGGAATATTCTCGAAAAAACCGGTAAGAATTTCTTCTAAAATTTTCTCGTTCCGTCTATGTCGTATCGCCAATTTTGTCGCCAATTGGGCGATTTTGCTCCAAATCTGGTGCCCATGCCTTTCTTTGCTACTTTCTGGCAACCCTAAACACACTTTGCGGGAAAGCTATCTTACATTTCGTAACAATATATTAATATACAATTGTATTAAAAATCATTAAATGGGTCTTAAATTTAATTTTTCAAAGATTCGTAGCGTTTCTGTAATAAACAAAGATTGCTCCTTATGCCTATCTAATTCGTATCAAAATACACTGACTACTAATAAGTATTTGGACACCTGTGATAGAAAAGAAAAACTAACTTTATTCAAAATCAATAGTTCGTAGAGCCTCTACGAGAGGTAATTACAGCGTGGACACTCCGGGGCATACTTTCCACAAGTCTTTGTATGACAGCTAGTGGTATTTTCTTCCACTCGGCTTGGAGAAGACATAGAAGTTCCTTCACCGATTTTGCACGGGCAGTGCACCCCTGAACTCGGCGATGCAACTCGTCCCAGAGGTTCTCGATAGGGTTCAGGTCTGGACTCTGGGCAGGCCAGTCTATTGGGATGAACTCCATTGGCACCATACCAAGCCTTGGTTAACGTCGAAACATTACAACTGGCATTGTCGTCCTGAAAGTAACAGGGGTCCAACTCGTAAAACTGCCACTACGTAGGAAGCACATTGTCATCCAAAATAGTGCAGTAGGCATCGGAGCTTACCATAAATGGGGACCAAGGGTCCCAGCCCATACCAGGAGAAACACCCCCAGACCATAATTCCACCTCCGCCGAACTTGACTGTTGGCACAATGTATTCTGGCAGGAGACGTTCTCCAGGTAGACGCCAGACCCAGACCCTGCCATCCGAACGGTAAAGGGTGAACTTTGATTCGTCACTCCAAAGAACCCGTTTCCATTGATCTACGGTCCAATTTCGATGTGCTTTGCACCACATTAACCGAGCAGCGCGGTTGGACTTTTTGATCAAAGGCTTATGGGCAGCAGCACGACCATGAAAACCAAGCAGATGTGCTTCCTTACAGATGGTATTCATTGAAACAATATTTCCCGGATGCCTGTTGAAACTCCTCGCGGATGAGAGTCATCGGTTGGGTGCGGTTCTTCCGAATTTCTCTGAACAGCACTCGTTGGTCTCTATCTCCCAGTTTCGTTGGTCTGCCGACTCGGGGCACATTCCGACAATCACCGCTCATCTTCCACTTCTTAATCACATAGGTCACTGTCGATTTTGGGTACTTCAGATCGCTAGATATGTTCCTTAAGGATCGGCCACATTTGTGATACCCGATAATTAAACCTTTCTCGAAATCAAAGAGCTCCGAACTGCTAGGCATCTTGCATGCGACTAAAGCCGATGCTGTTTCCTACGCGATATATACCGGCGGAATCCGTGACGTTCCTTAGGACCGCAGATATCGTCATTTGCATAGGTGTCCAAATACTTATTGGTAGTCAGTGTATAATATAGTCTAAGTTTCATCTACGTGGGTTGAAATTTATTTTATGGTAAATCGAAGCTGATGTGACATTTTCGTTACAGGAAAGTGTTCCTCCCGTCATGGCATTCCATTTGGGATCTCTCGGCTTCCTAACCCCTTTCGAATTCGATAACTTCGAAGAACAAGTCACCAACGTTCTTGAAGGTAGGTTTTACAGCTATTTTTCACTAGCAAGATCATTTCTCTGAAACTTTGCCGAGTATTTTGTCTAGTAAGAGTAAAAATTGCTTAAGAGTAAAAACTGAAAAATTTCAAAACTTAGTAGGATTTTCTTTCTACTTCTTTATATCATTTTCTCGCAAGAAAAACAACTCTTAATTTTCAAAGAAAAGAATAAAATTATGAACTACACTTCGGAAACTTTAAAAATTTTTTAAATAGCAAGCTGATTTTGAGAAGTTTACAGAAAATCGACACTTAAAGCAAGATCGGTACAGGCAATAATTAGTGACACAATTAAGTAAAATGATCCCTTTATTATTTTAACCAAGTGATTAATTAATTATAATGATTCTTTTTAATGCAGTGTAAAATTTTTGATGAGGGTAATAAATTTGTTCTAAATCAGGTAACATTTTAAAAATAGACATGAAAAAATATACCTATTGCATTGAAATAAAAATTGGATGTAGGATTTGACATTCTGGATATATGATTGGAACCATTCATTTAAGTACTAAAACAATTCTGAGATTCATTCTGAGAAAATTTAGTTTTAGAGATGTGTCGGTTGCTGTTGTGTAAGTTGAAATTTCAAGATTAGGTTGTTCAGATACGGCAAAGCACGCGAAGGCTATCAGTCTATAGGGAGGATGCTTTCGTGTAGGGCTTTCGAAGGGAAAATGGCACATATTCGTATTACCCAAGGAAAAAACATCAGAAACCAATCATGCAGACAAACATTCTCGGGAAAACCGGTAAAAATTTCTTCTAGAATGTTCTCGCTCCGTCTGTTTCATATTGCCAATTTTGTCGCCAAATGAGCGATAGCTCAAAATCAAATGGGCGATTTTGCTGCATATCTGTTGACCTTCCTTGCTACTTTCTGGCAACCCCAAACACGCTCCAGTATATAGGACTATTAACAATTTGGTCATCAAAGATCCAAACAGTTCCGATTTTTGGTTACAGAAGATATCAGTACTTCTATAGCAGTTTAGAAAATATTTACGAAATAAAGTTTTTATTGAGAATGTCCGTCACTCTTTTGAAGCTTTCACAATATTGTAGGGCACGCGTAAATAATGCGCATTTTTTTTTATGCCAACAAAATCTTTTTATGCGGCCTTTAGGTTTTCAAACCATTGGCCCTAGATATGTAATTTTAATTGGTTACAAAATGTTTTGAATGACTTCAACTATTTATGTTTTTTGGATTTAAAAATTTAAAAGTCAGTTTTGTAAAAATGACGAAATCAAAATTTTTATATTGCCCACCGTTATAATTATTAAAATTTTATGACAATTAAAAAATTTGGCTGCAATAGTCTGATGTAGAGATAAATGGTCTTGAACCATAGGCACTCCGTAACACACAATCCTTGGTCTTGTATAATAAAAACTGATAGAAATATTTTATCTCAAAGTTTGCTATTTTCGCCTTTCTCTAAACTGATGTCTCAGATTTAGTTACGTATAAATGCAAAGATTTCACTGTTCAGTTTGTGTACACCTAAAAACTCGAAACCATTTGAACGATACTTTTGCGTAACATCTGTACTTACGGATAGAATAAAAAAACTAATTTTTGCCAAAATGAATTGCAAAATAGATTTAAAATGGATTCAGAAGAGTTTTCCGGCGTCTGTACGTATCTCGCATAAACATTATCACTGTATTACCTGGCTCGGTGAGCTTAATTTTTTATTCTTATATGTTGCTAACTTGTGCACTTTTTGCTTTAAAGTGGTTGAATAATGTTGTTCTTATATTTCGGTTAAGGTTTTATGTCTTTAATTAATCTGCATGCAATAGTTGTAGAATTATCAACAATTTAAAAGTAACGAGTTAAACCTGACGAACGTCATTTGTTTACATTTGAAATTCAGCAGAATAGTGAATTAAGTCAGTTTCTGCATCTTCAGTGTCTTTATGCCGAGTGGAACCAAAAGTAAATTTTTAGTTTTGTGCACAGAAATCTGCCTTTTTGCCCGCTGGCTGGATTGCTTGTTTTTGTTTAGAAACTCTAATTTTAATTGTAAAAATTGTTGTTTTTTAAAATTAAATTATACACATTTTTAACTGCATTACATTTAAACTTACTTTCCCGAATTTTGTTACATATATGTTTTATTTCTCATTAAATAAATTCAGTTCTCATTGAGCAGCAAGCCAAAAATATATAAAACTCAAAATATCTTCATTAAAAATTTCAAAATAGAGAAAAATCTAAAACAGCGAACACAGAAACGGTTAAAAGATCCATTTTTGGGATTCAAATTGGAGTTTTTACGCAAAAACAAGCAATTCGGCCAACGGGCAGGTAGACAAAATTTTCGATGCGTTAGAACTGACAATTAACTTTTTGTCCCATTGTACGTAACGACATTGAAGTTTGTGCGCCAACTGATTTAACCCTTTCCGGCACGCTACCTTTTAAAGTGCAGTTTTGATAAAAAAAAAAAAAAAAGAAAAAAAGAAAAAAAAAGAAAAAAAAAAGGCAGTCTAATTAGGCCTAGAGGAATACACAAGTAAAATTTTGTGAAGTTTAATCGTTTTATTTCTGTTTATTCTTACTTATCGTTTTAATTATGTGGGTGCGCCCAAAGTGGGCACACTGATTGAATAGAGCTTCGAAAAGAGTGCTGAAACGACATTATTATCAATGAACTGAACGATGAGATGCGGAGAAACAAAGATACAGTTGCCTCTCAGTGACCTAGACTCGCAATGATCGGTGAGCCCAGTTTCGAAACACCTTGGTTCGCCGTTCGATTTTAGGCAAGATTTCAAAGTAAAAATTTAAAACTAAATATAGAATAAGGAGTTAGCATACAGCCAAAAATAGCATAGAAATTTCTCTTCTAAACAATTCCTTTTATACCCTCCAAAATTATCTGGAAGATTTCTTTGAAAAGTGAGTGTCTTAAGAAACTAAACATGGCTAAAATATATATGGACTGGTTTGTGTTGAGCTGCCAGCTACTATAAATAAAGAAGTTTCAGAGTAACCTATAGTAACCTATAAATCCTTTTTCATTCAATTTTTCTGTGCGTATAGAAGGAAATTTTTAGGTGAGTCCAGACCGGACACACTGTGCCGCAAAGGGTTAATTCACCGTACTACTAAGAATTTTAAACGTAAACAAATCGCTCTACATTAGGATTAGCTGTGCTTACACTTTTAAATCGTTGATAATTCAACACCTATTGCATGCAGATTAACTAAAGGTATAAAACTCTTAATCAGAACATAAGGACAATGTAATTCAATCAGCTTTGAAGCAAACAATGCACAATTTATCAACATATAAGAGTATAAAAACAAAGTTCACTTATTTGAGTAGTAGGGTGGTTTTTATACATATACACGTCTGTTGCGGCCGATTACAATAATTGAAGATGCTCAACTAGATATTATGACCATACCATAATTAAATTTTAACGCTGTGCTGCCAACGTTTTTGATACATATAATGGTGCCGATAAACAATCGCTTTTGAGATCATTTTAAATCCATTTTCGAAAGAAGGGTCTTTTACTCTGTCTGTATTTGCAGATGTCACGCAAAAAAGTCGTTTAAATTGATTCGGAAGTGGTCAAAATGGATATTTTCATTGTGATATGATAATCGAAATTTTTTGCGAGTACGATTCCTTTACTTCCGTACAAGGAAGTAACAATCCGTTGTTCCTCCTGCTGCTGTTGTTTCGAGATAAATCACTTATTTCGTCTTTTGTTTGCAGAAAAACAGGCAAGATTAGTAAAAATGAACGAATTAAATTGATGAATATAAATGAGGGTAAATAAAATTGCTTGCATTAACCCTTTGGCTGCTAACGGGATATATATGTCCCACCAAAAGTTTAAAAATTACTGCTGGATCGAAGATTGCTAAGAATCTTCTGAATGCTAGTGATCATCTTCTAACAGTAGGAAAATCAAGACACCGCTGTGCTTCTTGTACACAAATGAGCCTAGAGAATAGTATAGATATATGTATCCCACCATTAACTGGCTTGAAAACAAAACATTTGTCAAAAAATACCAAATTATCTTATGTACGACATATTTTGTTCACTTTTATAGAAAAAGGGTAAAAAAAAGTTTTTTTAGTCCAAAGGGATTTGAATCCCGAAGGACTATTAGTTTCGTTTTGGCATTTTGCGTCGGACGGATAAATGTCGGTTCACTTTTCAAACTGTTGCCATAAAATGTTAGAGTCCTGCATTATATTTGAAGAAATTAAATAATGAAAATCTGCGTAAATGTATGTATATTTCTCACATTGTCATAAAATAACGGCTGTAATGTCATAAAATAACGACATAGAGTCATCGAATTTTGAATAACGTAATCCTCCAACGAATATGAGCATGTGGAAGACCAAATTGAATTTGAAATTTGTTTTATGATCGATTTCCTATTTTTTAAAACTTTGACGAATTTTTGATTAACAAACTCTAGGATTTCTAATCGAGCCATGGCAACGTTGTACAGAAAAAAAAACATTTTTATCTCCAGCGCGTGAGTACTGCGTATCGGAAATTCTAAAGATATGGCTCAGTTTTAAAACTTATTTTGCGAATATTGCTGTTAAAATGAATTTTATGGTTTAACTGCGAATGAACAAGATATTTAATAAATAAAGGTAACACACAAAATATTAAAAAATCCCCTTTGAACGTAATTTAAAATCTGAAACATTTCAGATTTTTTTTTTTTAATTCGTAGTCAAAAGTGAAACATAAATAATAAGTGAATACATTGAAGGTATCCAACTGTGCTTATTAAAATTTCAAAGATTTCTATCCGGATGTATGCCATGCATTATGTTAGATATATCTTTCGTAAATTAAAATAGTGCTGCCGATATTCACAGAAGTTATGAATTAGATATGCCATAAAAATTCATTTTCATTTATATCAATTAGTTATTTTCAAAAAAATAATAATGTGTATATATTGTTACGTTATTTTCTTCC